CGCGGCCATGTGCTACAAATAGGGTGAGGGCTATTGAAACCTAAAAAAAAGGAGGGGGACGGGGTTTTATGGCCTCTCAGGTCACGAATATGTGATGTGCAAAGTATACGGTAGGCGCATTTTGCAGCCCGGTTGAGGTCATCTATACACCCACGTTGGCAACGCCCATATTCTTCCTCTATACAAGCGCGGGTTTTGGGCACAGAGCTCAGTAGTCTCCGGTCCACTGGGACTGAGTGGCGGAGCGAGTTGTTCGCCTACTGCCCTCAGTCCTCACCAATCCCATCGCCTTTTCTTTTTTCCTTTTTCCCCTTTTTGCACTTGCTTATAAGTTAGTTTAAATATTCGGTCTGCTGATAGTTTCTAATTTGTTTCCACTGCATTTCCGGGGTTGCATGCTCAAAGTTCCAGACAGGGGCAACGTTATTTGTACACCGTTTAGTGATGAAAATACTGAAAGCTGCAAATTTCTGGGATCCGTCTAACCACTAACCTGGATCTCCAGATGTTTCCGGTTTTCCGAATCCCTTCATTTTGTAATGCCATACACTATTATTCAGTTCAACTTAACGTTAAAAAAATTTTTGCTATTCGTAAGATATGCAGATTTCTTTCGTCATTTTTTTCCTGAGATGGCTCGCAAAACACCCAGCCCCAGTGTTTTCGAATTTTTATCTTTTAATTGGGCTGCTGCTGATCCTGTCCTGCTGTTGTTGTTGCTAGGTTGCCAGAAGTTTGTTTTTGATGTGCCACGATGATCCGTGACCTCTCCGTTTTTTGTTCGTCTAGCTGCCTCAGTACCTGTTTCTGCTCGGACTCTATGTTTCGTCTTTCGATCTGATTCCACTCATCCTGGAGTCGAGATCAATTTAACCCTCCCTTTCATCAGTGCATTCCTCTGACCAAGAAAAGGTCCAGGTATTCATCGGTATTCATCATTTGTGGATCCATTCCTCCTGGTTTGTGTCTGTTGCTTTTCTCCGTAATATTTTGTTTTGTCGTTGTTTTGCCTTAAGTCGAAATTGCTTTCACATTTATTCAGAAGTTGATCCGTATGGTAGCAACATTGTTTGCAGCAACCCGCTTCCCCTCCCCACTTCCCATCCGCGGCAAAACTACTAATGGCTTCCTCTTCCTC